TGGAGTGTTCATTATAGTGATCGTATAATTTGGTGTATCAGGAGTCGTTTTCATTTTTTCTCTCCCTCTGACGAATGATCATAGTAGTGATTTTTAAGCTGATGATGAAAATGGAATGGAAATAAAAAAGATGCATTAGGTAATTAGCGATTTAATGATGATAATTAAATGCAAAGTAGGTTATACAGGAGGTCGTTTGTTTCGCTTTGTTGATGCTAACAGTATTGTTCACTTTGGCCGCCGTCCGTATCACTCTTTCTAAGACTGGTTTCAGAGAGACGATGGGGGAGGGGTAGAAGGAAGAGAGAGAGAGAGGGATAGAGAGAAAGAAAAAGAAGAGAGAGAGAGAGGATGGAGAGAAAGAAAAAGAAGAGAGAGAGAAAGAGAGAAATGGCGAGGAGAAAAGAGAAGAGAAAAGAAAAGAAGATATAAATATAGAGATCAGGAAGGGTGAGAAGGAGAAAAGAGGAAAAAAAAACGAAAGAAAAGAAGAGAAGAGAAGAGAGACAGACCGGGAGAGAGAGAGAGAGGGGGGGGGGGGGATGACGGAGAGGCTGAGAAGACAGCAAGTAAGGCTCCGGAGAGAGGCGGGGGGGGGGGGGGGGGGGCGTAGGTCATTTCGCGTCCCGTGGTTTTGATGATCTCAAGTCATGTAAAGATTTCATTAACATGATTTTATGACTTTACAAAAATGTGATATATGTATTAGTCGAGGAATAAGGAAACGATATATTGGGAGATCCAATAGATAAATCGACAGATAGGCAGGTAAATAGATAGGTAGAGAAATAGACTGGTAAACCGAAAATGTATAGATGTATCGATAGGTATACAGATTAATATGGATATATCGATAGGTAAACAGTTTAATATGGACATATCGATAGGTAAATAAATTAATAGAGAGATAAATAATCCAATGTGGATGTAGCTTCACTGATAGATATATGCTAATAGACAGATAGATGAATAGACAGATGGAGAAGACAAAAGATGAAAGGGGGAGTGTTTTCAAATTTCCCGCTCAATTATTCATATTTTTGGATGTGTTACGGGAGGAAGAAACAGATAACGTCTTGGACATTGCGTTCTTAAGAAACTTTTGCCGGTGTGCTCATCCGCTGCCGGTATCTTTATCTGTTAATAATATATCTATGCAATATCTTTATCCTTCAGTGTTTTCTTTCCTCTTTTCTCTCTTTCTTTTTTTCTCTCTCTCTCTCTCTCTCTCTCTCTCTCTCTCTCTCTCTCTCTCTCTCTCTCTCTCTCTCTCTCTCTCTCTCTCTCTCTCTCTTTCTCTCTCTCTCTCTATCTATCTATCTATCTCTCTCTCTTCTCTCTTCTCTCTCTCTCTCTCTCTCTCTCTCTCTCTCTCTCTCTCTCTCTCTCTCTCTCTCTCTCTCTCTCTCTCTCTCTCTCTCTCTCTCTCTTCTCTCTCTCTCTCTCTCTCTCTCTCTCTCTCTCTCTCTCTCTCTCTCTCTCTCTCTCTCTCTCTCTTCTCTCTCTCTCTCTCTCTCTCTCTCTCTCTCTCTCTCTCTCTCTCCTTATCTCTCTCTCTCTCTCTCTCTCTCTCTCTCTCTCTCTCTCTCTCTCTCTCTCCCTTCTCTTCTCTCTCTCTCTCTCTCTCTCTCTCTCTCTCTCTCTCTCTCTCTCTCTCTCCCTTCTCCCTTCTCTCTATACCTCTCCCCTTTTCTCTTCCGTCTCCTTGTGCGCAATCTTCCTTCTGCCTCTTCAGCATATCTTCCCTCCCTCCCTCTCTCCCTCCCTCCCTCTCGTGCGCTTATCTTCCCTCCATCCCTCCTTCCCTCTCTCTCGTGCGCTTATCTTCCCTCCCTCCTTCCATCTTTCATTCCTTCTCTCTCTCCCTCGCATATCTTCCTTCCCTCCCTCCCTCCCTCGCCTATCTTCCCTCCCTCCTTCCATCTTTCCTTCCTTCTCTCTCTCCCTCGCCTATCTTCCCTCCCTCCCTCCCTCGCCTATCTTCCCTCCCTCCTTCCATCTTTCCTTCCTTCTCTCTCTCCCTCGCATATCTTCCCTCCCTCCCTCCCTCGCCTATCTTCCCTCCCTCCTTCCATCTTTCCTTCCTTCTCTCTCTCCCTCGCCTATCTTCCCTCCCGCAGCACCTTCCATCGGATGAACGCGAATTATCACGTGATCCATCAGCTTCGCTCCGACTCACCGGTGCGGATTCAATGTTTTATTCATGCTTCGCTGAATGAGGCAATTACTTTACATTAACAAGTGGTACATACCTACGGATAGACAGGGCTTTTGGGGGGGAGGGAGGGGAGGGGGTGTTGGTGTAGGGGGGAGGGATAAAGTGGTGGTGTGGGAGGGGGGTAGAGGGATTTGAAGGGTTGTGGGGGGTGGTATTGTGGGGAGAGGGGGTGGGGGTAGGGGAGATGAGGGGAGGGAAGGGGAGGGAGAAGAGAAGGATAGGAAGGAATAGGGGGAAGAGGAGGGTAAGGTTAAGGGAGATAAGGAGGAGGAGAGGAGATGTGGAGGAATAAGAAGGAGGAGGAGAAGGAAGATGAGGGGGAGCTCGGGTGGACGGGCGGTGGGAAAGGGCGGGGGGGAGGGAGGGGGGGAA